CTCTCTCTCTCTCTCTCTCTCTCTCTCTCTCCCTACCCCATAGCTGTGTGGTAGTGTCTAACTGCTCACTCTGCTTCCATTCTAGACCTTCCCAAGGAAAGCAAGGAGCCGAGATCCCGAAGGGACAACAGACGACCTGATATTCAGTTTTACCAGCCCGGTGTTTCCAGGCTGAGAAACAACAGACAGAAAACATCACAGCTGGAAACCTCTGTAAAGGAGGAGACCAATGGCAAAGATTCTGGTGGGAATAAGGAAGTTCAGTGCCAGTCTATGCCAAAGAGGAGCTGCTCCTTGACTGCTGAGGGTCACAGCAATGGTGCAAGTAACCAGGGAAGTGCCAACAGGAACGGACAGTTAAATAGACATGAGGAGGACGATTCAAAGTGGACTGAGGAGCAGATTGAGAGGAGTACTAACTCTAATGCTGTTGGGAAGCAATTGAAGAGGGTCAAAAAACCAGATCGTCAGATCTACCAGCCGGGCCGACGTGTGCAGGTGCTGGGTAAACAGTCAACTAACAGGCCGTGCAGTGAAGAGCTGGTAAAGAAAGTAGAAGAGTTGAGGCTGGTGGATGACGGTAAGAATGTCTCTGAGGAGAACACGGAGACTGGTGAAAGTAAAAACAGTTGGGGAGACAAAGAGAAGATTGAGCCAACTATTGAGGTGAACATTGGCAAAAGAGAAAAGGGGAAGAGAGGGGGAAGGAAGGAAGTTGTAGCTCAGGGGAATAACTTTGCAGCAGAAGCTGAAGACAGTCGAGTTTTTCGATCCCAGGCCAGACCAGAGAAACCTGGAGGGCCGTCGAAACGCTACTCCAGGTCTGACAAGCGCAGGGGGCGTAACCGCACGTGCAGTACCAGCTCTGCAGGGAGCAACAACAGCTTTGATGGGCCTTTGTCCCAGCATGGAGCTGCTGATGGAGAAAGGAAAAAAGTGGCAATGAAGGAAAGGAGGCCGCTTCTGAGAGGAAAGAAAAGTTGCGACCTTGCAAACAGATTTCAATCTCAAGCACTGATTCTTTAGAAGATGACTGCGCTGATGAGAACAGGAATCAGATGTCAGTAAAGAGCCCTGAAAAGCTGAAAGGTTTGGAGAAAGAACGGATGCTCGGCAGGAACACCGAGGGCTCAGACTGCTGGAATAGGGAGAGTAAAACTGCACTCAAAATTAGGATTGACAATGAAACAAGCAACAGGGCCATCATAACACCGAAGAAAAACTCAGAGGAAAAGAGCAAAGGGAGAGGCAAAGCAGGAAGGCCAGAGGCCAAACCGAACCCGTCAGGCAGCAGGCCAAGTGAGAACTCTGAGAAAAGGGAGAAAACTGAGGAACCGAGAGGAAAGGGTCGGGGGATCTTAGTCCTACCTGCTAACACTGATCTGTCATCAACAGCACCGGGCTCTCCAGATTCTCCGCAGGTGGGGCCGAGGCTTCTGTTTGGGCGGAGCTCTCGGAGCCGAGGTCGTGGTGGGACATCGCGGAGACTGTGGGATCCCAACAACCCTGATCAGAAACCTGCCCTGAAGAGCCAGAGTGCTCAGCTCCATTTCCTGGACACTGATGATGAATGCAGTTCATCATCCCAGGGAGAAACCTACTCATCCTACACACACCCAACTCCCGCAGCATACTACAAATTCCAGAACTCGGATAATCCGTACGGTTACTCCAGAGCTGCGGTGCCGGGCCCTCAGTATCCCTATGGTCCTTATACAATGCCGTACCAGATAAGTGGCAATAACAATATCTATCCTGCAACATATTACCCGAGCTACCCAGCTTCTCAGTTTCTCACTCCCTATCAGGCTGGGCAGCTGAACCCAGAAGACGTGGAGCAGCAAGTCCGGACCTTACAGCAGCAGGAACTTGGCAAGCTCCTGCGGATGGCAGACAATCAGGAGCTCCAGCTTAGCAACTTGTTGTCCAGGGACAGCATCAGTAAAGATGGACTGGAGAGAATGGCCCAGCTCAGGTGAGGACACCTTTCCTCACCCATCTGTCTCTCTGTCTGTCTGTCTCTCTCTCTGTCATGCGCTCTCTTGCATGTCATTATGGGCATCATACCCAAGGTGCCAGTGAACCATCCTGCTGCTGTACTTCCCAGGTCGCTGTGTACAAGCTGAACGTAAGGCCATTTCATCAAACTACCCCTCTCTTCTTCACTTTACCACAGGATCCCTGGAATGAGTCAGACACCACCAAATAGTGGAAATCTTAATCCAGTAGTTTGCTACAAACAAAAATTAATTTTCCATCTTACATATGGGCATCTTTTAATCTAATCCCAGTCCAGTGAGATCAGTTTAATTTAAGCCTTGATTCATGTTAACCTTTTGATAGTGGCGCAAGCAGGATGAATAGGGAAAGGCAAATTTAACATTGTGGTCAGAGCTTCTTTGCACACAGGGTCACCATTAGGTGGGATAGTTTCAGAATTAGGTTGCTGTGTTTTGGGAGGGCTGTGGGGTCTTTGTGTCAGGGAGCTCCAGCTGAGCAACTTGTTGTCCAGGGACAGCATCATTAAAGACGGACTGTAGAGAATGGCCCAGCTCAGGTGAGGACACCTTCCCTCACCCACCTTTCTGTAACTTGTTTCATTAAACTTGCAGACATCAGGACCGAAGGTGGAGTTTTACCCCCACTCTATCCAGACTTCCCACAACCATTTCTGTCCCAGTTATTTTGCCCTAGCTGTCCATTCCCTGGGTTATCCTCTTGCCCCTGCCTCATGTGAGAAACCAAAATCCAGAAGTTTTTATTATTTGTTCATAGAATGTCAGCAGTGCTGGCTATGCCACTATCCCTTATTACCCTGGAGAAGGTGGTGGTAAGCTGCAATCCAAGTTTCTTGTCTTTTTAAAGCCCTCAGTGACGTTCCTTCCCTCTCCTCTGGCTTGGTCTTGTCGCTACTTTGTCATTATTGATATCAGAGTTTCCAGTCACTAACATCCCAGGAATTTACTGTCCCTTTAAGTGTGTGTATTTCCATTTTAGGTATTGGCCCATTTTGTCCAGAGAGCAGCTGTTCAGCCTGAACTGCTGCTTTGTTTTAATTTTACTGTATGGAATGGTGAAATTCTATTTGAATATCTGCCTGAGATCAGTAGAAACTGTTAGTGGCTTTGGGAAAATCCACAGCAGTCTTGTTCCAGTCCTCTTCCAGAGCTGATGCTTAAGTATCCTTGATGTTTACCTATTTCCATATACAACAGAGTGTTTATACATTTATACTGTGCCTTTGATATGGTAAAACACCCAAAGCCCTTTGCAAGAATGGTGTCAGACTAAACTGGATTCTGAGTGAAAGGAGATGTTGGGCCAGGTAACCGACAGCTTGGTCAAGGACGTTGAGTTTAAGGAGTGTCTTTAAGGCAGAGATAGAGGTGAAGATGGAGGGCTGTGGAGCTGAAGAGGGTTTGAGATTAGGAGGGCAAGGCTATGAAGTTATTTGGAAGCAAGGATGAGAATTGTGAAATCAGGCCATTACTGGACCAGGAGTCAGTGTGGTTGGTGAGCAGAAGGGCTGATAAGAGGACTGGGACATGGCGAGAGTTAGAATTTGAGGAGAGGAAGTTTGGTTGTGCTGAAAATTGTGGGGAATGGTGTGGTAAATGTTGGAATTGTGTTTAAGCTGTTGGTAGTGGGCAATAGAATGGGAAAAAATGAGACCCATGCTGAAAATGGCAAGGTGTTAACTAGGACATGTACTAGGATTGGGGTGGTAGGGTGTCTGCAGCTGGGATTGGGTGCAGGGGTGGTCCACAAGCCTAGGATTGTTCTTTGAGGCTGGATTTGGGAGAAAGGCATCTCTGTGGGGCTGGCATAGGAAAGAGGAGGTCTCTGGGATTGGGAAGGGAAGCGGGGATTCCCCGGGTTGCCGGGACAGGGAAGGGGAGAGTCCCGGCGGGATTTGGGGGGTGCGGTGGTGGTGGTGGGGGAGACAGGGAATGGGGGAGTCCCCGGGGGGACCTGAGACAGAGGAGGGGAGGTCTCTGTGGGATTGCGATAGGGAAGGGGGAGTCTCTCCAGGGCTGGGACCAGGTGGCTGGTGTATAAAAATTGTGCTGTGGTGGGTGGTTTTGTATCGAATAAATTATATCAATTGCACAATTGAAGTCACTTTTCCCTCTGTCTCTCTCTGATATAGGGCAGAGATTCTAATGCTGTATGAGCGATGTATCCTGACTGACATCGAATATTCGGACACCCAAAATGTTGAACAGACGATGTGGAAGAATGCCTTTTATCAGGTGATTGAGAAGTTCCGTCAGATGCTGAAAGAACCTTCAGAGAATGGAGATGAAATCAGAGGAAAGCTTTTGAGTTTATTGGATGAGGTAAGACGAGGTTTTTGATAGGCTGAGGTTATTGATTTTACAATTTCTATTTCGTTCTCTTTCCAATCGACAAGCGGCTCACTCCCCCACCCTCCTCCAACCCTGTGTCGTTGTGATTCTCTCTTGTTCCCTTTCATCCTTTTATCATTTCCAAGCTCCACGCCAGCCTGTGCTACCACCCTCCTCCTGTAGCCAACTAACCCATGGTATCACATACTTGTTTCAGAGTGCTCTCCCCAGAGAGACCAACACGTTGACCACCAGTTTGAAGAATGTGAGGTCTCTTGCACTACCTACTGGTCTTTCTGGTCTGACAGTCACCCATTACCTCCCTGCCTGCATACTCTTACCTGCATAACTCCGGAGTTTCAGCCTCTGGGGAAGGGTAGTTCTGTGCCCAAACCCCCTGCCTGTCTGGATCTCAGAGAAAGGAGGGAGTTTCATTTGTGTTTGGAATCCCATGGCTATTATTTCACCCAGTGGAGAACCCCTTGGTACAGTTGATAACTGATGGCAGTGAGGATTATGGTCAGACTGGTGTAATCCAGGTTTGCGTCTGTTTTTAGGGGACCAACTTCTTTGACAACCTCCTGCACAAGCTGCAGATTACATACCAGTTTAAACTGGACGACTACATGGATGGGATGGCCATACGCAGCAAGCCGCTTCGCAAAGTGGTAAGTACAGGCGAGCAGATTGAAGTCTGAGTACAACTCCATTCACATTTTACTTACCATTGAAAATTGGTGGCAGGGTATCTAATTCTGTATTGGAGACCAATATCCTTTCTAAAGAGAAGTTTCTTTTCAACTGGAATAAGTGATGAGGTGAAGTTGTTTTATTTAAAAGGTGCTTGAAGCAGTGGGAGCTATGCGTTCAAATTGATACCATTGATAAATCCCATGCCTTGGTATCAGGCGTGACTCCATATAGAATCATAGAATCCCTACACTGCAGAAGTAGGTCGCACGGCCCGTCAAGTCCACATTGACCCTCCAAAGGTCATCCTACCCAGTTCGAGCCTCCTGTCTTATCCTGATGGATACTTGCTCACTTAAGTGTACTTAAAATGAAATGCTGGAAAGACTCAGCTCAAGCAATGTCTGTGGATAGTCACTTACTGTTAATATTTGAGTTGATGATCATTTGTATGGTCCCCTTGGGTGTTAATTGCTTCAGTGTATTTTGGAAACCCATTACCCATGCAATGCTGTGTTCTGTACAATTCCACAATTGCCTTAAAATGAAACAAAGCAGAGATTGCAGGAGAAATTCAGCAGGTCTGGCAGCATCGTGGAGAGAAAACAGAGTCAAGGTGACCCTTCAGAACAGAAGAAGAGTCACTGGTCTAAAATCATGAACTCTGTTCTTTCTCTGCAGATACTGCCAGACCTGATTTCTCCAGCAATTTCTGTTTTTGTTCCACAACTGTTTTGATACACGCTCTGACTGCAACCACTGTACTGTTTTCTACAGATCATGTATTGATATGGTAATGGTCCTTTTGGCTGTTCTTGTTAAATTTCAGGTGAAATATGCACTGATCAGTGCCCAACGATGTATGATCTGTCAGGGAGACATTTCCCGCTACAGGGAACAAGCCAATGATACCACAAACTATGGGAAGGCTCGCAGGTGCTGTATTACTGTCTGCTTAATAAGAGATGGATGTGGAACTAAACTGTGTCTCTCATTCTTTTATTGATGTTTTAATTTTCTTCTGGCTGCTGGTCTCTTGTCTGTCTTTACCAGGTATCAGCAGTAGGAAAAGTATAGGTTTGCCCTAAATGTGGCTGGTGCTGCTTTACACCTTAGGCTTCAGGAAGATGGTGATTAGTTTAACCTTCATCCAATGCCCCATTTTTTTTCCATTTACTTAATGCTTGCAGGTAGTCAGGCTTCAGCATCGGCAAACTTTGTTTCTGTATCTATTTTGAAATAGTGACTGTGATTCTTTAAATTGATAAGTGATGCTTACAGCCAGCCTAGAGGTTCATTGCAGTAAGAGAATACTGTCCCAAAGTACTTCATCTTCAGTTTATTGTCTTAGAGAAGTAGCTGTCAGTGCACGCACAGCAAACTTCCAGTCTTTATAATTCAACGATAATTGGCTAGGACACTGGGGAGAACTTCCCTGCTTTTTTTCAAGATAATGCCATGGGATGTAATGAGAGGGGAGACAGGGTCATGGCCTCACTTGTTGGAAAAATGTTGCTTCTGTTAATACAGCAGTCGTGCTGTATCGCTGTAGAAGGTCGGGGTCGCTGTCGATTTTTGTGCTCAAGTCTATGGAGTGGGACTTGAGCTTGCAGTATATGGGCCCAAAGGTTCCAGCTGTGCCTATACCAACACTAATTTCATCACCCTGCCTTGCTCCTGTAACCCTTAATGGCCTTCCAAGAAAAATAGGTCCATTACAGTTTTGACATTTTCATTTGAATCTCAGGCTCAACAACATTCTGTAGGCTCCAAATTTCTGCTCATTTTTGTGTGATGGTTTGCTCCCAGTCATCAGTCTGAATAGAAACAAAAACAGAAATTGCTGGAAAAGCTCAGCAGGTCTGGCAGCATCTGTGGAGAGAAATCAGAGTTAATGTTTTGGGTCAAGTGACTCTTCTTCAACCGGAGTTCACTCAACCCAAAAAGTTAACTTTGATTTCTCTGAGCTTTTCCAGAAATATCTGTTTTTGTTTCTGATTTACAGCATCCCATAGTTATTTCGGTTTTTAATCAGTCTGAATAGCATGACTTTAATTTTAGAGTGCTGCTTCTGTGCCCTTACAATCCACTATAGCTAAGTGGTGCAAGTCACTGTTGTCAGACCCTTCCATTCCAATGCAGCTTCACTTTGTTTTCTTGATTCAGACAATTTCTGATTGATTTCAGAAATCTCACCCAAACTTTTTGAGCTTGTGGAGTAAGTTCCATTGTATTAATATTTGGAATGTTTTGCTTTATTTAAGTAAAATCTGATGACATAGAAGCAGATGTAGGCCATTCTACTCCTTGAGTCTAGTTAATCCTTTAGCTGGATCATGGAATGACTTGTATTTCATGTCTGTTTCAGCCTGCCTTTGATCCATACTGCTTGAAATGTTTATCTCAAGCTTGAAATTTCAGTTGATCCAGTTCAAGACAATGGCACTGCCCATTGGCATCGTGACAATAGCAATTTTGAATTGTTTCTTTCAAAGTTTCCTGTTGTTTATTCATCACCACCTCTATCAATTAGCCATTGAACCTTGTCCAATTCATAAAGACCCAATTGGCTCTGGTTAAATTTTAAGATTTTTTAAAAAATGTTTGGAATAAGTCACTTTTAGACTTAATATGGAATTCAGTTGTATTATGATCACAATATCTGAGTGGATCTTTTGTTATGAGATTACTAACTAACCTGCCTTATTTCACAAAATTAGACCTGAAGTTAGGTGGTTGTTTCTGACCACAGATGTGATGGGTCAAAGGGCCTTTTAATGTGCTGTAGATCTCTCTGACTGTATGCGATAGCTTTAGTTTTACTTGGTTCCACCGCCTATTGCTGGAGGAAATTATCGTGAATCTTCAAGTAGTGCCCAACTTAAGAACATCCAACTTAAGAATGCAGTCTCATACAGGGGCAATTTAAAGATCTAATACGTGAATGTTTCCTGTACTTAGAAACCACTTTATATTGTCCTGTGAATGGACTCAAGGATGGAACCTGTTTGCAACCCAGGGCCTGCCTACCTAACCCTTCTTGTCTCACTCACCTTGTCTTTAGCCACATTGATATAGTTTTCCATTGCCTTAACTTTTATCTTTAGATGTTGAAATCTCCTTTAACCCAAAACCCCCTCCATTTCTGTTAATTTGAAGCTACTGACCATGTTTGCTAGTGCACTCTTCTGTTTATACACTTGGTTCCCTCATGTCACCTTACCATTACTCATATTGCACTGTTTCCTTGTCCTTTCTTTTAAACTTTCCAAAGCTCCCTTCATGTGAATCCTCCCCATCGACGCGCTGCCATCACCACTTCTGCCTGATTAGAATTTAGATTAAAGTCCTAGCTATAGCCCCATTTAAACAACTTGAACACTGGTGTAAATGCGGCCTGTCTCAGACCTGACTGTCAGATAGACGGTTGGACAACAGGAGATGGAGGGCTTGAGTGACACAGTGAAGAGTTGATGCTAGTTATCATCTGTGTATGTATGTAATATGACTTTGTAGTTTCAATGGTACCATCAAATAGGTAATGCTAGTAAATGTGGAGAAGGCCAACGACAGTGAACCAGAAATCTCTTAAGCGGAAAGAAAGCCAGATCTTTGGGTTTTAACCAAAAGATAGGCAAAGGTCTCAGGTAATGATGATCAGCCTCTAGAAACCTCTGCACTACTGTTACTCGAAATAATGATATGACACTAAGCATGTTGCTCTAGTCGATGCCAGAAAGAGGAACTAAATTGGTAGCTAATGTTGGACACCCGATCTGTCAGGAGTGGCAAAGCCAGCTGAGAATGTTTCCTCACAGGGAAGGATGGCTGGTGGAAAATCAGGCTGGCATTTACAAAACTCTTCAGCTCATCAGTACTCAGCCCTTAGAGGCTGATTGACATTGACACAAACCTGCCAGAGTGGTGACTGCACTTTGTTTCTTGAATAGACGCAACAGGCTTACTAATGAGGCAGTTCTGTCAGCAGGGAGGGCAATGGATAAATTATGGCAAAGCAAAGTGGGTGGGAAGAGAACAAAGAAATAAGAGTGGACCATTCAGACCACTGAGCCTAATCTACCATTCAGTTAGGTTGGAGCTTATCGTCAACCATAACATGCTTTCCTCTGTTATCTCAAGACTCCTTGATGTCAACAGTCTCCAGAAACCTATCAGTTTCCATATTGGCCATGCTTTTAATTATTGGTCTTCTGCAGCCCTCTAGTAGAAAATTCCAAAGATTTCATCACTCTGAGTGAAGAAGTTCCTCCTTATTTCAGTCTGAAATGGCCTGTGTTCTGAAATTATACCCCCTGCTTTTAGATTTTCCAACCAGTGGAAACATTCCATTAACATTCACCCTGCCTCACATCCTGTATGTATTTTGTACTTTCCAACGAGATAACCTCTTGTTCTTTGAAACTGTAGAGAATACAAACCCATTGTACTCTGTCTCTAATAAAGCTATCCCATTATCCCAGGTTTCAATTTGGTAACCTTCACTGCATTCCCAATTTGGCAAGCAAACCAAAACTGTACATAATACTCAAGGCAATGTCTGACCAAGGCTCTATACAATTGCAACAAGACATCTTTCCTCCTCTATTCCAATCGCTCCATCCCTTACTGATTGCTGCACCTGCAGGCTCACTTTAGCGATGCATGGACAAGGACATCCAGGTCCCTTTGGACCCTTGCACTTCTCAATCTCTCACCAATAAAGAAATAGCCTGTCTTTCTGCTTTTTATACCAAAGTAAATAATTTCACATTATGTTCCACCGGCCGTGATCTACTCCATTTGCTTCATTTGTCCGAGTCCTTTTGAAGCTTGTTTGCATCTTACTCGCATTAATGTTACTTCCCAGTTTGGTGTCCTTAACAAATTGAGAAATGTGACAATGGGACCCCACATCCAAATTATTCATGTAGATTGTGAACAGATGTGGTTTGAATCATTGAAAGTTGCAGTACCCCACTGGTTACAGCCTGCCATCCTGAGAATGAGGCATTTATTCCTTCACTTTGCTTTCTATCTGCTATTAATTTAACTAAGTCTGGCAAAATTAATTGCAGTGGCCTTTTGTGGTTAGAGAGAACTCTTCCATTCCTTTACAGCTGTGTGAAAGCTCTTCAAATCTACATATTTGAAGCGGCAAAAACTATCTGATCAGCATGTTGGAATAGAGGGGATTGTTTACACTGATCTTTATTTAATGTCTACTTTCTCTTCTCCACAGTTGGTATTTGAAAGCGCAGCAGATTGCACCAAAAAATGGACGCCCTTACAATCAGCTTGCTATTCTAGCCATCTATACGGTGAGATCCTCAGTTTGTACTTCAAGACTCTCCAGAATTGAAGCTTTTCTCAGCAGCCCAGATTGCACACTTTGTGACTTGAGTTGTTCATCCGTTTATTGAATCATATCTCCTAATTGTTAACATAATTCATGTGTCTCAAGATGTCTCCTATACAGTGAAAGAGAATGCCATTAAGTAGGGAAGTGCAATGCGTTGATATGATCAATAATGATCAGTTAATTGGTTTTGATGGAGAGGTGAATATTGGTTAGGGCATCAGAAGAACTGCCTTGTCTTTAGATAATGCTGTTGGGTCTTTATCATGCATTCAAGTAGCCAGTTTGGTCTTTGGTGTGAGGTCTCATCGCTCAGGGAGTGCAACACTGTTGGGTGAGAGGTTTCCTGGATCAGAATTAATCTGGTGGGTGTATATTATTTTGAAGTACAGGTGAATTATTCCTCAGTCAACATCACAAACAAACTATCTGATCTGTGTCACATTCCTGTGTCTAGGAGTTTGCTGTGCATGCGTGTGATTCTTCCATTACAACAGTGATTACACTTCATTGACAACAAAGTACTTTGAGATTTCTGATGATGATGTAGGGTGCTATTGAAATACAGTTTTTTTGTATAGATAGATTCTTGATCAGTAGGGGAATCAAGGGTTATGGGGAAAGATCAGGAAAGTGGGTGTGAGGAATGTCAGATGAACCATGATCCTATTGAATGGCGGAGCAGGCTTGAGGGGCCAGCTGGCCTACTTCTGTTCCTATATCTTATGGATCTTATGAATAGAATGCAGCACTCTTGAGTATTGCACTCCAACTCCAGTTTGAATTTTGTGCCTAACTGTATGAATGAGGTTTGAGCTTGCAACTTTCTGCGTTGTGGTCTTTGCTAGCAACTTGGTTTCTCGCAATATTTTCACAATTTGTAGTCTATCGCTGACCTGTCCTTCCTCTGGCATCACTGTTGTGGAGGACCTGTGAATTGGGTACCTAACTCTCTTGACATGATGTTTATACAGCAGTGATCAGTAGGTGGCGTTGTGGTTCCATTGCAATGTAATGGTGTTTGATTGATCAATTTCATTGAAAGCTGCTCTTCTGGTTTTGAATGGCAACTGTTTTGAAAGGTGTATGTTGAGTTCACTGTCAGTGATTTATATTGGAGAAATGTTTGAATTTCCTTTGAAAGGCAGTGGCTGTGCAATTGCTCTCTTCCTCTCCTGAACTTGCTGATTGAGTGTTGGCTGCCTTGTGGCGAGTGGACAGTGGTTGTCATGCTGCTTGACCAGGGAGGCATTCACAGCTGAGCAAACATGGTTACTATTGTAAATGTCCCCTTTGGATTTCAACTGAGGAGACTGATGTAGACTACATAAGAGGTCTACTCTACATTTTTAATCAACTTGTACAGCGGTCTTATGACACACCTTTGGAGCAAGTGGAGCTGGAACATCGGCTTTCTGCCTTGGAGATATTACCAATGTACGACAAGAGCCCTTAAAAGTTGGACTGTGTAATCCAT